GCATTGTTCAGGCATGAGGTACAGAGCTGTTGGCGGTGAGTTCGCTGTGAATGAATCAACAATGTATATTAAATATGGTGTCTTTCAACAGTCACACACATAAAACGAGGTTGTGTATTGGTCTGTTGATGAAAATGTTGTGACCAGAGAGGTTCACATGCACCCAACCCTGTGATTCCCCTAAGAGCAATGGTTCAGTATTTGCTAATCAGTGTTTACAGTGACTTTCTAGAATATCATTACAGCAAATAATGAAAATTGACTGTACTTTCAGGGTTTGGGGATTTTATGTTTGGAAATAATATCTAGGAGGCATTGCAGTGAGATACAGTTACAATTAGCATTGCTGTGTGACAAATTACCCCACAAATTGGTGTGTTAAAACAACCATTTTCTTATGCCCACAGATTCTATAGTTGGGGATTCAGAATGGGCATAGTTGTGAAGGCTTATCACTGCTCCATGATGTCTGAGGCTTCTACTGGGAACACTCAAGAGTAGAGGGACCAAGAGCTGGGGCTGGAATCATGGGAAAGCATCTCATCTTCACTCACATATCTCTTTTCCTTGAGCTGGGGGACTGAAAGACTAGAACCACTGCTCAGAAGCACTTGCCTGTGGCCTCTCGAGTGGCTTGGGCTTCCTCACAGCATGGCGGCCTCAGGGCATCAAATTTGTTCGGTGGCAACTCTGAGCTCCAAGCAGGAGGGTTCCAGTGAACAAGGCAGGAGCTGCATCATCCTTCATGACCAGCTTCAGAAGTCACGTAGGGTCACTTCTGCCAAGTCCAATTGGTTAAAGTAGCCGCAAGCCCGCTCAGATTCAAAGGGATGGGGCATGGACCCCACCCAGATCTTGATGGGAAGAGTAGAGGTCATGTTTTTAAACCATCACAACTGTTAACAAAGACCTAAGAAAATGAGAGACCCAAGTCCAAGTCTTGACTCTGTCACTCTCCTAGCTAGGTGACCCTGGATGAGCTTCTTAGCCCCTTAGGGCTCAATGGCCCCTTCTGTGATGATAATTACAGCACCCACTGTCTTGGATGGTGAGAATGACATGAGACACTAGATGTAAAGCAGTTAGTTCAGTGCCTGGCATGGAATGTGCTGTAGATGGTCATGGTGTGAAAATGACTCATTATGAGACCTGGATGTATTGATACTGGCTTGCATTTGGCTGCATGTAACTGAAACCTAATATCGTGCCTTTACCAAATCAGACTATTTTTTTTTTATTCTTTTCAAGAGGCTGGGGAATAGTGTGGCTGTTCAAACAAATCATCGAGGACTCAAATACCCTGGCTTTTAATTCAGCCATCCTTAGCATGTGATTGTTGCCCTCATGGCTCCAAATTGGCTGCTATACCTCCAGAAATTGCATCTCCATTCTAGGCAGGAAGAAGGTGAAGGATAAAAGGCAAAAGCCTTCTCAGGAGACTCTGCCATTTCATTTGGGGAAGCAGGCCCTCCCTAAGAACTTCTATTTTCATCTCATTGGCTAGAATGAGCCACATGGCCACCCCTAGCTGCAAGGAAGGCTGAGAAGAGGAGCATTTATAGCTAGGCCCACTGCTGCCCTAGACAAATCAGGGTTGATAAGGAGAAGGGATAGGTATTGTATAGGAAGATAGCAGTGACTGCATGCCAACCCAAGAGAGTGACCCACAATGCACCTGTTGTGCCAACACTGCCATTGGCCATGGAGGATAGAGTAAAACAATTTCATCATGGGGATCCCTTATTTAAGGTAGCTGAGATCCCCTAAACTTGATCCAGGCCACCTCCCTCAGGAAGCTTTCCCAGATTTCTCTTTGTCTCTAATCTTACTCTTGCTCTGAAATTCTGTTCTCTTGGCTGGACTACCAATGCTGGAACTGGGGGTAAAACAGTCTGCCAAGGTCAGAGTTCTGCGGGGCCTACACTCCAACCTGCACTCCCCATTCTGTGTCTCCTGCAGAGGGGAGGAGAACTGCCCCTGGGCACAGTCAGCTGCTGAGCTTGGGTTGGGGCCTGAGTACTTGACTTTCACCTTGAGGATTTTCAGCGGAACTCCTTGAATTTTCAAAGTACTCCTTAAATGATGGTTTTATTTAACATCATCTTGATCTTCTACATCATCGTGGTGACTGTCATACCTGGCACTGGTGTCAAGGTTACCCTGAGCCAGGTGGGTACCTGGACAGGATAAATAATTTAGCACTTCCTTCAACTTGCTAGTCTTTAAGGATCAGCCCAACATTTCCTTAGAGGGACAGCGCTGATGGAGGACACCCACGGCAGCATCAGCCTCCCCTCTATTTTTGAGCAATTCCATCCTGGCTTCAAATATGCATCCTCTGCCCAGCAAAACCAGAACTCTGCAGCTAACGAGGCCTACTCTCTCTGGAGCATACTCTTGTGAGCATCTGGGCTTAAACTGCCCTGGGGAAGGGTCCTTCCCTCCTTATCCCCACCAGAAGCAACTTATCAAAGAATTCCAGTCCACTTGCTAGCTGTGAGAGCTTAGGCAAATTACTTAACCTCTCTGTTCCTTAGTCTACTTATCTGTAAAATGGGAATATTAGTAGTACTGAGCTCATGAGACTATAACTGAGGATTAAATGAGAAAGTGCTTAGAAGAGTGCCTGGCATATAGTAACCCCTCAATAATATTATTATTTCAACAGACGAGGTCCCTGTGTAAGGGGGCTGAGAATGTGGCAGGACTCCCTTCCCACTCCCAGCGACAAGGCCTAGAACAGAGTCAACACTGCTCAGCCCTTTCCTAGGCAGTGGCTGGGCCAGCCCCTAACAACACGTAGCACAGACTCCTCTCAGGTATTGAGCACTCGTTGTGTGCCAGACCCCAGTTTTATTGGCATCAGCTCACAGAACCATCACCAGCCCTGGGAATGGGTACTATTTTTATCCCCAGTTTTCAGAGCAGGAAACTGAGACTCCAGGAGGCAGCAAACCTTGGAACTGGAGCTGGGTCTCTCTGATGCCTGGCTTGCTCCCACCACATTGTCCTGAAATTCTTTGTTTACGGCTGGCTTTCCCCTCTTGGCTGCAGAAGGCCCGCCTCAGTCTCATTCATGGTTTTATTTTACTCCCAGGGTCCCCTGTGTCTAAACCTGCCCAGGAGCGAATGGATGAATGAGCCTACCAGGCAAGCCCCTGCTCCGCCTTCCGGGCCCAGTTCTCACCCTGTTTGGCATGTCCAGTGCAAGCTGGAATTGGGAGGGGGCTGGACAGAGGAATTTCCAGCCTCTGGGGAGTCAGGAGCAGAGGGTAGGGGGAAAGAGGGGAGAAAGCGAAAGTGAAGGGAGCCGGCAGCCCCTGTGAGGAGGCGCAGACAGGGAAGGAAATCTCCCGGGCAATAATTCATCGCTCAGGAAGCAGCAGCCTGGCCTGGGGCTGTGTGTGGGACTGGCCCGGCGGGGAGGGGGCTGTGCAGGCTGCTTCTCCTCCTCCCCAAAGCCCAGCCTGGCCAGGGTCACGGTCAAACGGTGGAGGGGGTGGGGATGCAGGTGTGAGAACAGACTCTCCTGCAGACCCTGGTCCTGAACACTTAAGGGGTTCCCCACCCAGCATCCACAGGAAACCCCTCAAGCCCCCTCCACCCCACTTTCTGGCCTGGGTCAGCAAAGTCTGGAAAGCACAGCACGGCAGAGCCAGGAGGCATCTTCGAGAAAGCTGAGGCCCAAAAGAGCCAAAATGTACCTAGAAGCTTTTCACCTCCGCTCTCTGTGCTCTCTCTGCCTAACTGGCTGACATTTGGGCTGAAGAGAAAGGTTCTTTTCAAGGCCAAGTGGATGCTGGCTTAGCTGCTGCCGGGGACAGAACAGGGAAGCAGGCCTGAGTGAGATGGGACCCCAGCAGCCATCATCAGCTCAGCGATTCTTCCCAGTGCCTCTGAGGAGGTAACAGCCTGAGCAAGCTAAGGTTGCTGGAAGGAAGGAAGGCTTTGAGGAAAGACAGCCTTTGTGTGCCGATGTGGGGGATGGGGTGAGAGTCTAAGAGGTAGTGCAGCCAGCCTGCTGGGGTAGCACCCCACTCACCACCTGTCACACTGAGGGCCAGAGCTCCCTTATCTGTGAGTCAGGGCCACTGTCTTACAACCTCTGCTGGGCACAGTAAAGTACTCAGCACAGGGGTCTGGCACCCAGTAGGACCTCAACCAAAATGCCAGCTCTGTGAGCAGAGAGAGTTTCTTTTTTTCGTATCTGTATCCTCAGACCTAAAACCATGCCTGGCACATAGTAGGGGCCCAACTAATATTTGCTGAATGAATAAACAAATGAATGGAACTACTAGTATATGTGTGTTTTGGTTTTGTTTGGCCTCAGTGTGTGTGTGTGTGTGTATGTGTGTGTGTGTGTGTGTGTGTCTGTGTGTAAGTTTGTCCTCCGGGACGCGATACTCCGAATCCTTATTTGGAAAGATTATAGCGTCTCTCCAGTGTCCTCATGGACAGCACCACTGTCACCACCAGTTTGTACAGAACGTGGATTCCTGGGCTGCATTCCAAAAATGCCGAATCAGCACGGAGGCAATCTGGGAATCGGTAATGGCAAAGCTCCTTCCCCCATTCTCATGCACATGAAATTTGCAGAATGACAGGATTAGAATTCGACCGCAGGAAGACCTGAGCTCGCTTCTCTGCCATCCACGTTCCGAACCAGAAAACTAAGGCCAAGAGAGAAGGTACCTGCCCGCGGTCTCCAAGGTGGTCTAGGCTGAGGCACGAAGTGCGGTTCTGGGCTCGCCCCAGCCCACCCTCCCAGACCTCCGGCGTTCGCCGGCTGGACAGCAGGGACTGAGAGCCTTCGGGGTGGGCCGCCAGCTCCCGGGCCGCTTTCAACCTGGGGAGCGGGGGCGGTGGGCGCGTCGCCATTGGCCGGGGCGTGGCGAGTGCGTCCCCATTAGCCAATCGGAGCCCCCCGCCCCCGGGCTGGGCGGCCTCGTGATTGGTCCCTCCCTCGGCTATAAGGCGGCGGCCCGCTGGGCCGTGGGAGCGCGGGAGCGCACGGCTGGGCGCGGCTAGCCGAGGGCCCGGAGCTCGCAGGGACACTGCCGGCGCCCATGGCGTTCGCGCTGCTGCGCCCCGTCGGCGCGCACGTGCTGTACCCCGACGTGCGGCTGCTGAGCGAGGACGAGGAGAACCGCAGCGAGAGCGACGCGTCGGACCAGTCGTTCGGCTGCTGCGAGGGCCTGGAGGCGGCGCGGCGCGGCCCGGGCCCCGGGGGCGGGCGGCGGGCAGGAGGCGGCCCGGGCCCCGTGGTGGTGGTGCGACAGCGGCAGGCGGCCAACGCGCGGGAGCGGGACCGCACGCAGAGCGTGAACACGGCCTTCGTCGCGCTGCGCACGCTCATCCCCACCGAGCCGGTGGACCGAAAGCTGTCCAAGATCGAGACACTGCGCCTGGCGTCCAGCTACATCGCGCACCTCGCCAACGTGCTGCTGCTGGGCGACGCGGCCGACGACGGGCAGCCGTGCTTCCGCGCGGTCGGCAGCGCCAAGAGCGCCGTCCCCGCCGCCGCCGCCGCCGCCGACGGCCGCCAGCCGCGCTCCATCTGCACCTTCTGCCTCAGCAACCAGCGCAAGGGGGTGAGTGCCCGGTGCGCCCGACTGCGGCGCGGGGTCGCCGGGGACTGGACTCCCGGGGTACCAAAGAGAGGCAGAGACCTCAATGAGGCGAGAGGGAAGCGCCTGGGAATTAGTGGTGGTGGGGCGCCCCAAGCCCAGGGGTTGGTGTGGCACAGAGCCACCCGCTTCATGTCCCCCAAACAGAAATGGTGCAGGGAAGCCCGGAGCTCGGTCTGATTTACTTGCTCACGGAGGGGTACTCCCTCCAACCACAGCTGTGCTGTGCCGCCTGCCTTCTAGGAAGAGAGTATGAGGACAGACAGCAGAGGCCATCGTGCACTGAGCAATTCCTCCGTGCTCGATGTCCGTCTCAGCCTCATTTTTACCTTCACAAAAATCCCGTCCTTCACAAAAATCCCGTCCAGCAGGTAGTTTTCCTGCCCATTTTGTCACTGATGAGGATCTGAGGCTCAGGGGGCTGAGACCACAGGCCCGCATTCGCTCAGCTAGGGACCCGGGATGCAGGCTCTGGGCTCCCGGGTGTGTGTTGCCTGAGCAACCCCCACCTTGAAACAATCGTCCCCCTTCCTAAGACCTGGCAGAAGAGCAGGAGACTGAGAAGAAAAGGGGACACATACCCCCAACCAAGAGCCAGCAGTACCCGGTAGATGAGGGTCCCCTGAGAGCACGCAGCCCCCAAAGGCATGCGGTGGTGGGAGAGGACACTCGGGTCAGCTGCACAGAGCTGGAGCTACGCTCCTGTGGCGTTTCCTGGGTAGCACGTGAGCCGGGCTGGTAGGGCTGGGTGGGTGCTGGGCAGCAGCACAGGTTGCCAGGGGCCCTCTTGGCTGAAAGTTGACCCAGGTCCCAAAGAGCCTGCTTCATCTTCAGCCTGTCCCTCTTTCCAGCATAAAGGAACCTGTCTGTGTGACAACTTTAGATTCCAGCAGCTTCCCTCATTTGCATCTGGGGGAACTGAGGCTGAGAGAGTCCTGCCTGCCTTTTGGGGGCCAAGTGAAAGCGCATGGGGAATGGAAGTCAGGGCCCCGACTGCCCGGTCTTTGGTTCTCACGGCTGCCCTTGGTTTCTTGCTCCACCCTGTCCTGGGGAGGCCTTAGTGTACTGGCCTCATCCCACCCCCTTCTGGCTCATCAGACTCCCGGCCTGGCTTCTCACCACTTGGCTGCCTCAGTTTCCCAGAGTCAGTCTTCTTGGCCTCAGACTAGTATCTTCTTGAGGGTCCCTGCTGCTCCCAGCTGTGGGCCCCAGTCAGTACCCCAGGCTGGCCTGGGAAACAGGGGTGGGCCTTCAGGCATCTGGCCTGGGGTGTGAAGGGCTGATGGGGCCCTCGGTGACACTCTCTGACCACCCCTCTCCCCTTCATTCAGTTCAGCAGCCCTTAACTACCTAACAGCTGCCTCTGCTGGCTCTGGGAACACGCAGAGAAGCAGGTTGCGGGTCCCCACCCACCAGCCCAGAACTCAGTGCAGCATCAGGGCCACGGCGGGGGAGGAAGACAGGGATACTGTGGTAGAATGGTGGGGCAGGGGGAGCACAAAGGGATGGCCAGAGCCCAGGGAAGCCCGCAGCCCAGGTGAGCGCTGACGAGGCTTCTGTGCTCAGTTCCTGAGGGATGCTTGGGAACAGAGGCAGGCGAGGGGTGCAGGGAAGAGTGTTCTGGAAGCGAGCACAGCAACAACAGGGCCTAGAGAAGGATGAAGGAAGAAGTTAAAGGTGACAGAGCACAGAGGGGAGGCAGAGACTGGCCAATGACATTGACGACAGCAGTCTTTGTGAGCACTGATCTGTGCTAAGCACTCTCACCAGTTGTCATTAAAATCCCTCAACAGCCAGGGAGAAAGGCGCTAGGTTATCCCCACCTGCTCAGAGATGCTGCCACTGGTTCAGACACAGCCAATGATGGAGCCAGGATTCAAACTCAGGCCTGCCTGATTGGGCAGTGGGGAAGGTTAGAGAGGGAGGGCCCTGTATCTGTCACATACCCACCCCGGAGTCAGGCAGACCTGGAGCGGGCTCCCTTGCAGATCTCGGGCCTGGCCCACAGCTCACGGGGCCTAGCTGCTTCCCTGGGATCTGTCTGTGGGACCAAGAACCCAGCCAAATTTGGTGCAGAAACCATGCTGTCAACTCCACAGCCTCCTCTGGGAATCAGCGAGAGGGGCGATCCTGGCCAGCCGTGGCCCCTCAGAGACTTGGATGGAGGAAAATAAAATTGGCTGTCTTGGGGAGCCCCTGCTCCCTTATGAGCTTTGGGGGCCAGAGAGCTCCAAGGCCCCAGATCCTATCCCTCCACGCTGAGCTCCCACCTCCCTCCCATCCTGGCTGGTCTGGAGCTGGGGTCACCACGGAAGCAGTTCCCTCTAGCACCTTCCCACTTAAGGAGGGGTTAGGTGTGGCCCTCTGTTGTGGAAATAGCCAGTGGGAGATGGAAAGGGGGCTCTTGTCTCTGGTCTGTTTTCCCTTTTGTTACCAGGGGGGCGAGGGGTGGACAGGGTCATCTTGTAAGGCTCTCGCCTGTGGGTGTCCCCAGCTTTGGAGCCACCATTACCAGATGACGCTGATGACGTTAATAATACTTGTGAACATTTATTGAATACTTACTTTGTTCCTGACACTGTGCTAAGGGCTTTACCTACCTTCGTTGGCGTAATCCTGTATCTTGTGTACACTGTTAGCTTGTGTCATTCTGTAAAGTAACTCCCCTTTACAGGTGGGGAAACTGAGGCTTGGTGAGATGAAATCCTTTGCCTGAGGTCCACCATGGCAGAGCAGAGATTGGAGCCCAGGTCTGTCTTACTTGAGCCCAGTTCCTAACCGTGTTGCTTCTTTAGACCCTTGGCGCTGAGTTCCTAAGGAACAAGCAAATGGGGACCTAGTCAGCTCCTCTTCTAAGCACTCTTGACAGTTTGCACAGCTGCATTCACATTCAACTGTACCTTGGGGGTGCCAAGTAGAATCATTTTGGCCCCAATGCATTGATGAAGAAACTGAGGTTCAGGGAGGTGGACAGTCCCAGCATTCTCAAGGGACCCAGGTCTCTGCATGGCCTCCAGATGCGGAGCAGGAGGCGGCTCTCCCTGGCCCTGAGGACTTAAAGACTGAAAGGGGGGAAGCCAGTGTTCCATCCCTCAGCCTCGACGCTGCCCCCACCCCCGCTTCTGTCCCCCCTTCTCAGCTGCTCCTGCCAGAGTTTGTCTGAGAAGCCCAAGCCCCAGGCTCTGCTGGGACCGTGGCCTCAGCCCTCAAAATAGCCCTGCCTGTGAATGAACATGCTGTCCCTTGGCCGCGAGAGCCTCGAGGGAGGCTGGGCTCGCATCTGGATGGATCTGCCCCAACCTGGGTGCGGGGGCGGAGGGAGGCAGGGGGCAGAGCTCCCAGATGGTCAGCTGTTCTCTAGATGGGCTGAGAAAGCGGCCTTTTCCATCATCGTCTAGCTGGGCCCAGGGCAATAAGCATTTGCAGTGGGATTTCAGACACCTCTGTGTCCCAGAAACAGGACCACTTGTTGGACAATGTGGATTTCTAGCCCAGCTCCTTCACCAACTGGCTGGGTGCCTCTGGGCCAGTCACTCGAAGGCTGGAGGCCATGAAGGGGGGGGTGCTCTGAAGTGTGTGGCCTCACCGGCTTACACAGAAGGTGAAACCCACATATCCAACCTGAAAATGTCCATGAGAGGGGCTAGAAGAGACCACCCCTGTAGGGTGAGGGACTGCTGTCTTTAGGGACTGCCCCCGTTAGCTCATCTTCAGTGGTGTGGCCACCACTTGATTCCAACAGCATCGATGGGCACCTGCTCCAAGCCAGGTCCCAGGCTGGAAACGGGGCCACAGAGTGCAGAACTCTTTTCTCTACCACTCCCTGAGCTCCTAGCTCAGAGAGGGAACAGAGGAGAGACCCTGCCTTCTCCTGAGCTGTATCCTGGTGGGATGTCCCCAGAAAAGCAGGAAGTGCCAGGCCATTTCAGAAATAGAGAGACCTTCCCAGGGAGACAAGGCGTGGGAGCGTATGCCTGGCAAAGGGAACACCGTGAGTGAAGGCAAGGAGGCCAGAAACCCAGTCTACTTTTGAAGGTGGATGAGTCAGCCACTGCTATACGGTCAGGCAATGGGGAGAACCACCAGGAGGTTGGTTTTGCCCTTGAGTGTGCTTTAAAATGTATTCGATTTTTTAAAAAGCAACAGATCACATGGGGAAGAAATGAAAAAGGTAAATATATATATATATATGTAGTGTGGGAGAGCCTCTCTCCCATCCTGTGTCCCCATCATGGAATTCCTCTCTGAGAAAACCCATTAGCGATTTCCCATGTGGACGTCTCTCTAGAACTCTCAGCACACAGGAGCATTCACTCAGGCTGCCACTTGCTTGTGTCCTTAAACAATGTCATTCGACAGCATTCCCTATGAGTCCATAAAGACTTTCTTCTGCTTTCTGTTGCTGAGAACCTTATTGTGTGGCTAAACTGTGATTTATTTATCAAGTCCCCTATTGTTGGACACAGAGGTTAGTTCCAGTGTTCACGTTGACATGATCGAACCTCCTAACACCTCTTTCTCCCTTCCTGCAGGGTGGCCGTCGTGACCTGGGTGGCAGCTGCTTGAAGGTGAGGGGGGTGACCCCCCTTAGAGGGCCACGGAGATGAATCTGGGCCCCTGTGGCATTTGCTCCAAGCAGGACCCCAGAGAAGGAGACCAGGAGCCAGCCACTGGCTGCACACGGGAGAAGACCCCAGGAGCCGAGCCCACCCTTTCTTTGTGTAGGGACCAGGGGACAATGGCCTGGGCCCGGGACCCTCTGGGCAGGGTCCCTGGGACATCTCCACCCTGCCCTGGAGAGCTGTGAGGACCCATCCAGCCTGCCCAGCACTGGCTGGTCAGAGACAAGGCAAAACTTTTGGAAACACAAAGACTGTTGGTGACAGAGAGTATGTGCGTGTCTGTGCATGAGTGTGGGTGTTTGTGAGAGAGAGATAATTGGTGAGTTTAAAATAAAAGATATTTTTAAATAAAAAGCATCATTCCCAGCTGAGGAAGGGAAGGACCTGTGGACACTGGAGGTCAGAGGCGGCCCCTCCCCTGGACCTAGAAAGAAGCTCGGGTTACAGGTGCGGCCCTGAGCTCTGGAGGGCGTGGGGCTGGGGCAAGGGGAGCCCCCTCTCCGGAAGGAGAAAGAACCAAGCTTGTCTCGCAGTCTGCCGGTGATCAAATGTTCTTGATCAACTGTTAGGTGTCTGCTGTGGTTGGTAAAGAAATCTTAATTTTATTTATTTTTGAATAAGGACTATATTCATTTCATTCACACGGCTCAAAATTTAAGAGGTACAAGGGGATATATCGTGAAAAGTCCCTCTGCCCTCGTGCTGTAGCCATCAGCCCTCCTCTCTGCAGGCAGCCTTGGCCACCAGTGTTCTGCGACGTCCCATTCCTTACAAATAATCAAGCAAATACACACGTAACAGCACATTGCACACACTTTCTGCTCCCTCTTTTTTTTTTTTTTTTTGAGACAGAGTCTCGCCCTGTTGCCCAGGCTAGAGTGAGTGCCGTGGCGTCAGCCTAGCTCACAGCAACCTCAAACTCCTGGGCTCAAGCGATCCTCCTGCCTCAGCCTCCTGAGTAGCTGGGACTACAGGCATGCGCCACCATGCCTGGCTAATTTTTTCCAAAAAAAATTAGTTGGCCAATTAATTTCTTTCTATTTTTAGTAGAGACGGGGTCTCTCTCTTGCTCAGGCTGGTCTCGAACTCCTGGCCTTGAGCGATCCTCCCGCCTCGGCCTCCCAGAGTGCTAGGATTACAGGCGTGAGCCACCACGCCCAGCCTACCTTTTTCTTTTCTTAATATAGCTCGGTATCATTCTAAATCTGTACCTAAAGGGCGTCCTCATTTCTTCATTAGTTTCTTATTATTCCACTTTATGAGTGCACTGTACTTTAATCCGTCCCTCGCTGACGCCATCACAAACAAGCCTATGCATGAGGCTGCGTAGGCATGTAGTTTCCACATGTGCAAACAAGTATATGCTAAAGAGAAATATTCCTATTCCTGTTTGAGCTGAGACTTGGAGGACCAATGACGCCCAAAGGCATGTGGCAGGGTGACACCATGACGTCTGTCCTCTTTAAAACCCAAAGCAGCTCCTTGCCCTGCCCTGGAGGTGCCCCGGGTGGAACACCAGCCCCAGTTAGCCGGCTTACACTCCCAGCAGCTCTGGGAGGTAGGGGCTGGTGTCGCCCTCAGACGACAGACAACAGCCGCCCTTTCCCCGGCAAGGTACGCTCATAAGCCTATCTCAAACTTTCATTTGTTTAACAGACACTTTTATTTAGCTTTCACTGACTGAAGTCTGGCTCCAGAGCCCACGTTCCCATCCCTCTGCTGTGCCCCACCCACCCTGCACCTTGGACCCTCTAACTGAGGCTGCCCATTTTGCAGATCAGCAAACAGATTGCCGAGCACCCTCTGTGAGCCAGGTGTTGTGCCAGATGCCACAGGGTGAGGCTGACCCACCTGATCTTCCAGACGAAAACGGAGACCCAGGGAGCACAAGGGAGTCGCCCAGATTGCCAGCCCCGTGTTGGAGCGGACCATGAAACCGCCACACTCAGCCCCTTTGGTATGAGAAGTGGAGGAAGGACGGCCCCAAGGGGCCAGGGTCCCGCCCAGAGAACTTTCCAAGCGCCCTCTACCTCACTTCGCCCGTGTTCCAGGGACACCGGTCGTGCCTATCCTGTGTCCCAGCGTGGCTGCGCTTCCCCCTTTGGGAGCTGATTAGGAAAGCACATTGCTTTCCCTGGGCCTACCCTGGTCCAGGTACAGGCGGCCTCTGGCAAAGCCACAGGAAAAAGACTGTGGCTTTGTCAATGGCAGGAAGCCTGGGAGTGGGGGCAGAGCAGACACTTGGGTGCTCGGGCTGGAGGCCCACTCTGCCACCAGGCTTGCTGGGTGACTCTGAGATACCACTTGACCTCTCTGGGCCTCCCTGGCCCAATCTCTAAGCACTGAAAGCAGCTAGAACAGAAAGGTATGTATTTATTTTGCTTCGTTAAATAGTTTTTAACAGACCATTCATGCATGAGTAAGTAATTCAAGTCGCGTCCAATAGCACACAGTGAAAAGCACATACCTCCCGCAGGCTCCTCCCCAAAGGGAACTGCTGTTAGCAGTTTCCTGTGTCCTTCCACAAGGGCGCTACAGCGATTACTATTTCTGCAAAAAATATTTGTAGGTTTCTCTGCTTATGGTTTCGTTGTAAAAAGAATTAAAAATGCTACAAGACCCTAGAAATATCACCCATCCCGAAGACAACCACCGTCAACACTATAACCCTGCGGAGTGTTTTTTAAACACACACTTCCACATGCACATCCTCAGTCCTTTACAGCATACTAAGTTGAAACTTTTTATCAAAGTATAAGGTGCATTCAGGAAAGTGCACAGCTCCACGAATTTTCTCAAGCTGAGTGAAACCAGGTTGAGTGAAAACCAAGCTGAGTGAAACCAGCTCCCGTGCACCAAGAAATGCAATTAGCAGCTTCCCAGGAGCACCAGACCAAGAAATGCAATTAGCAGCTTCCCAGGAGCTAGCAGCTCTTGTACTTATACCCATACTGGGTTCTTTCCATTGTATTTCCTTGGAAATAGACAACACAGTCTTCACAACTCAAAAGACAAAAAAGAGAATAAACTGGCAATAAGTCTCTTCTCTCCCAACCACTCGGTTCCAGTTTTTAGAGGGAGTTACTATGTTAAATTAACCAGAGTCTTAGGGATTCGTTCCTGTGGAGGTGGTCTGTGTATATAGGCAAGTTACATAGAGATTGTTTTTCCACACAGGTGATAGCATTTTATACACTTTTCTCTGCACTTGTATTTTTTTCTCCTTAACAATACTTCTTGGAGGCCCTCGGTATTCAGAGAGCTGTTGCATACCTTTTCACAGCTGCACAATGCTCCATTATGCATATTTTGTAGCTTGCTGTCTTCCTGGGCAATGGACAGTTAATGCCCATGAGGCTTTGTGAGCTGCAAGGCCAGTGCAACACTGTGACTTAAGCACAGCCATGGACCAAGAGCTCCAGGGCCATTTTCCTATCATTGCCTGTCCTGCAGCGCACACACCCCACCTCCAGGATGGTCCAGCCCAGCCAGGCTTCTCCAGGCCAGCTTGGGGCCAGAGGAGTAAACTTGCTCAGGGAGAAGAAATCTAGCCCTGAAGAGCATGGAATGACCAACCTCAGCCAGGCCACCTTGGACCCTGACACACTCTCCACCCAAATCTTCTTAGCTGCAACAAGCGTCAGCACAAGAACGATGTCCGAGTCCATCATTTCACCACAAATAAACTGAGACAAGACAGAACAAGCAACCTGCCTGAGGTCCCCCAACAAATCCCTGGTCCTACTGGGCCACCAGCAACCCAGGTCTCCCTGTTTGCCATGCAGGGCTCTCTAATTCCACAGTTACACATGGGGGAGCCTCAGAGGTCACCCGTGGTGATGTGAAGCCCAGAGAGGAACAGCGATGGGCCATGGCTGCACAGCATTTGGAGCTGAGCAGGGCTGAGAACACAGGGCCCCTTCCCCCAGCCCAGGGTGGCCACACCACTCCAGGTTCCCCTCATCAGCCCAGGCCACTTCCATTTTGCGAGGCTTTTATTAGGTTAAAAACCAAAACACCACAAAACAGAGTCCTGAAAACTAAGGCATATTTGGCAAGTTAACTCTCAACTACCTCCACACACTCACAAACACAATGCATTGTCGTGAGGACACTATGTAAGTAGAGGATTTGCAAAAACATCAATTCATGGAACAAACATATAAAGTTGAATGTTTTCATTCAACCCCATCTGTGTCTCTTGCTACTGTATAACCTCACATGGTTGTGATATAAAAAGTCTAGACCTGGACAGCCAAATACAATACACGACCTTGAACTGGACCTGTACCAAGGGGAGAACCTGAACTAGATCCTGCTACAGAGGCCCATATTGGTACAGTTGACAAAATCGAAAAATCAGAAGACGAACAGTAGATCAAAGTACTATACCAAAGTTAAACTTTCTGAATTTGCTAACAGTACCATGGTTATGTAAGAGGATATCCTTGAGCTTAAGAAACACACCCTGAAGTATTATAAGGGATAGGGAAGTATGATGTAGGTAACATAGTCTCAGATGGTTCAGAAAAAATAATGTGTATGTAAAAGAGAAGGATAAAGCAAGCTTGGCAAACTTAAAATTTGGTGAATCCGGGGAAAGGGTATATTGGAGTTCTCTGCACCACTTTCATCACTTCTCTGTATAATTGTAAATTATTGCAGAATTACAAGTTAAAAGGAAGTCAGGATATTGGCCCGCTATGATGTGAGTACTGTCAAATGGTCTCCTGGCTCCTCTGACCCACCCTGGCTTTAGCTCATCCAACATACTATGGAAAACACCCACAGTGGACCCAGGTGTCCCTGCCCGTGACTCTTAGGCCCCTGTGCCCCTCAAGAGGCTAATGTGGTCCCAGCCCCTGAGCCTCTGGCCACCTTGATTTATGTCCCTGTGAGGCTCAGCAGCTGTGAGCACAGGTCCCACTGGGCAGCCGGCTGGGGAGGGGCGGGTGTTTGCTTCTCAGCGTGTCTAATCCAGACCAGACTTGCAGACCCCACAGGCCTGGGATAGGGCTCCCAGGGGGCCGGGGTCAGAGGGCAGGCCAGCAGGGCCTGGAAACGAAGGGGGCACTGAGGGTGAGCTGGCTGGAAGGCAGGAAACCTAGCCACTGCTCCTGTGTGACCTAGGGTGGGTATATGCCCCTCTCTGGGCCTCACTCTTCCTCATCTCAGAACAGCCTGCACAGAGTAGACCAGAAGAGTTTTGTCAGTTGAGATGAACTGGCCTTATGGGAAGGAAGGCTGGTAAAATACAGGAGTTGTTTTTTTCTGAATGGCTTGGAAAAATGCCTGGCTTTTTTGAGGGCCTACTGTGTTTGGCCTCAGACTGAACACTTTGCATAAAATAATTAAGACAGTCTGCTCAAGAAGCTTGTCAAATAAGTACTGTTATTGCCTCATTTTATGGATGAGGAAACAGAGGCACAAGGGGGTTAAAGACCGTGCCCAAGATGACACAGTGGCTGTGAGTCAATTTGAACCAGGTGTTCTAGCTGCAGAGCTCCAGTGAGCTCTCCACCTCCACCCCACATGGCCTTACAGCTATGTCCCTAGTCCCGACATTGAGGGGCCACTAGTCCCAGTTACTGGCTTACAGAGATGG